TGACTGGCATATTGGCGCATCATCTCTCCATAGGCTACTTCTATTAGTTTATTTTGTCTTGATTTTCTCGTTTAGCCCTGTTCTTGTCCTCTTGAAGGATATTTTCTATTCCCACCCTAGCTCTGTCTGAATGGCACAGTGTACTTCGCGGACTGTCTCATAACTTATATCATTTGCATCACCCTTCTTATGTGACCTTAGAAAATTAATTTTTAGCAGTAAATTTTCCGACGGATCAGGATTTATAAATTAATTCTGAGTAAGTCGGTTAGGATGAATAGCAAGTGTGATGAGGCCACACTAGATTTGCCACAAAAGAGAACACATTTTGACGATTAGAATGTAAACAAATGAGAAGTTGTGATGGGGCGGCAGCGGGATTAGAGATTAAAGAGTGTATAGATAGGCCAGGACAGAAAGATGAGTGATAATGCAACCCTTTTTCGGCGGAACGTTTGCCGATGGAATGACTTAACTTGTGTCTTTGACCAGTCCGTAGCTTGGTGCGGAGAATGGCAAAGCTCATTGATAATGCCGGCGAAACGTTTGAGAATGCATCAAGTCCCCTGTCAGATGCTGGGAATCATGACAACTACTATGGCAGACGATTTCGGACTAGGTGCGTTCTACATAGTCTTTCTGCGACAATAACAGAGGCCACATCTTGGTCTTCATATATTCATAGTAAGGATTATTTTGGAAAATCTTTATTAATTACAAAGGGCGCAGGTGTTTAGAAATAATAACGAAGGGATGCAGAAAGTTACTACACGCTATTAATTAAGTCCCTTTCAGGACGCACAATAGCTCGAACTATTACCATATCATTATAATAATGATATCCTGCTCCAAATATGGCGAACCGAATCTAAAAAAGCATTTACCATGACTGAAAGAGTTTCTCTTGAACTGTGTGTTGACTAGAATATTCGAAATAGCCAATAAACAGTACGGCAAGAGGAATCTGTCGTCGCCCTATACCACTGCCAGCCTCCAATTTTTTCCTCCATTAATTTTTACTGCAGTGTTGGGTTACGAAGCGGATATAATAGTTCAGTCTGTTTATGTGGATATTAACCGAGCTGATGTAATAAAACACTTGGACTACTTGTGGGAATATCAGAAATATACAGTAAAAATATCAATAAGACAAGCTACAAATTTAGGAAAAATCATGGCCGGGCCGCCACGATTCGAATCTCGTTGGGGTTACTGAGACTCAGGCGAGATCGAAACTGCAGTCCACACTCGATGAGAATAGCTATTGAAAAGTAGAACTAAATGAAAATCAATGGAAACACAAGATACGCTCAGATCATTTTGTAGAAATAGGCCACAAGCCCACTTATCCACTCAAACTAAATATGGTGATTTACCGGAAGTCACTCTTTAAAATATAAGATAGTTGACGCCTTTTTGTATAAGAATTGTATCTAACCAATCCCGTTAAATTGATGAAGGACTTGTAGTT